CTTGGTTGACCTCACAGATTGCAAGGAACTTGCCAGTTTACAATCCTTTATTTGTTTATTTATTTTATTTTTTACGCCTACAGCACCTGGTCTTCCTAGGTGGTCTCCCATCCAAGTACTAACCAGGCCCGACCCTGCTTAGCTTCTGAGATCAGACAGGATCAGGCTTGTTCAGGGTGGCATGGCCATAAATGGGTTGTTGACTTTTTAATAGGAATTACCACAGGGGTCCTTTATATAAAAATTCTTTCCTTAATAACTTCTCTTATAGACCAACTAACTTTTTTGGTAGACTAAAATTCAATTTAGACTTCCCCTTTCTCATTTGACAGATGTGAGATTTGACAAATCTGTACTGTGTATGAGCAGACTACACTCTGTTTTTCCCGATGATTTTCACTGATTTGTCCTCCATAGTAATTATGGAATTCTGGTGTGAGGGTAATGCCTTGAGCAAAGGTTTGTGAGTTTTCTCCAAAATGAGTGTCATTTATAGGAATAGTATATGGATAACTAGTTTTTTTCTATACAAATAGTATCCATCATAAGTTAGATATCTGTATAGAAAATACCAATAATGAAAGGAGAACCTACTCTGCACAAACACAGGGAAGTTCTAAGAGACCAGGGGATAGCCTTTAAATATCTCCGATATATAAATATCTTAACATCGTGAGACCTCATTACTTAGGTGAGTACAAGCTGCAGGCTATGGATGCCTTAGAAACATGTGACTATCATTGTGGAATCAGGTGGCTAGGAAGGCAGGAATCATGTCCTCCTTATCCTTAAAGCCTAGCATCATGCCTGAAAAAGGGCCAGCCTTCAAGCATTGCTCAAGTATTACAAAAAGAAAAAAGGAAGGGAAAAATGAATCACAGAAAATAAATCTTTGGATGGGAGAAATAGCTTATGAGAAGTGAGAATACTGACCTAAATTTTGAAACATATCCCTGGAAGGGGAATTATGAGATGAAGGGAGCCTGTGTGACTGTAGTGATACTTAGTAATGAGTTTCTGGAAGAGGAAACAATCTTATCGTTTTGGATATCCCTAATGAGAAGTTAAGCCACCATTGAATTGTGATTGGAAGTGTTTGATGGGAACTTGTTGCCTCTCTCGTTAAGCATGAATATGCTTAGTCTTAGCTTCCAGGCCTCTCACCTGAGATAAGTTCCCGAAAAATTCATTTCCAAGAGCTGAAACCTAAAGTGGAGAGCTATAAAGAAAATATTGACAAATAATCTCTCATCACCATTTTGAGAAACAGTGTTTAGGATTTGGAAAAAGAACTAGCAGCAGCACTGTCCTCTTCTGAAATAACAGCTCATACTGTAATCAAGAGGAACCAATAATTTAAAAAGTTGTAGAATTAGAAGGAAAATTGGAAAAGTTCAATGAAAATGATGAGAACAAATTTCAAAAGAGAGCAGAAAACACACTATATCCAGGCTGGTTTTCCTGGACGTGGAACATGTGAGTGAAAGTGATATTTGATCTGATGTATGAAAATAAAATGTTAAATAGAGTAGAAATATTGCAATGTGGCATGAAAGAAGGTAATATGAAACAACCCGGAGTTCTGGAGTGAGGGTAATATCTAAATTTTCATTTAAGTTCTAACATTAATTATCTGTGTGACCTTGAGCAAGTTACTTCTTTGGGCCTCAGTTTTATCATCTGTCAAATAAGGGAGTTGAATTATAATTTAAAAGTTGTATAGCTAATTCTACAGTAATGATATGACAGGGATTAGTTGTTTTTCAACATATAGAAATAGGCAAATGTATTAGTCAGGGTACTCTGTAATAACAAACAACCCTAGATTTCAATACCTTAGCAAAATAAAAGTTTATTTCTCTCATGTTACAATCCAGTGGCTAACAATGGTGGTGGTGATGGTGGTAGTGGTGGTAGTGTTGGTGCATGTGCGTGTGGGAGGGATTTTGCCACACACAGGTATTCAAAGACTGTGTAGCTCTACCATCACCTAGTACCTCAGCCTTCCCTCTCTCTTCCCCAAGATCTACACTGAGTCGGCAACCAAGGAAAGGGAATGTGGAGGATTGTGCTGGAAATAGCTATAGAGGCCAGGCCCAGAAAGTGGCTATATCGCTTCCACCCATATCCCATTGGACAGACCTCCGTCACATGTTCCATCTAACTGCAAAGGAGTCTGGGAAATGTATTCTAGCTGTGTGCCCAGGAGCAAAAGGAAAAATGATTTGCTGAATACATAGCAGTTTCTGTCACAGCTGGCCCTTGTGGTCACCCGTTCCTACCACACATGGAATACAGTCACTCTGTTCTCAAGGGAGATAATCCGAGGCCCCATCCAGCTCAAAGTCTGTGAATTATGTTCATTCTTCCCTATCAGGTCCAGCTGTGACACTTTCTGGTCTGCTACCCTATAAACAAAAAAGTTATATGCTGCTCCCCAAATGTAATGGTGAAACAGGATCTGGATAACCTCAATAAAAACTGCCACGTGTAAAGGAGAGGAGGAGAGACACAGCAGTCACCTACCTGGCTGTAGGAGTTCTGGAATATCAATGAAGGAACAGACATTATAAAGGCCACTATATCAGCTTTCTATTGCTGTGTAACAAATTACTTAGTGACTTAAACCAACATCCATTTATTATGCTACCATCAAGTAGGTCAGAAGTCTAGGTAGGCTCAGCTGGGTCTTCTGCTCTGGGTCTCACAAGACTAAAAGTCAAGGTGCTGGCTGGAGTGGGCTCTCACCTGGTTGCTCTGGGGACGTTTCCATGATCATTCAGGTTGGTGGCAGAAATCATTCTCTTGAGGCTGTAGGAATGAGGTCTGCTTTTCCTTGCTGGCTGTCAGCTGGGGTCCATTCTCTGCTCTTAGAGGCTGCCTACGTTTCCTCTCATGCAGCCCACTCCATTTTCAAAGCAGCGATGACTGAGTCCTTCTCACACCTCTAATTTCTCTGACTTTCACTTCTACCATTATCCAGAGAATGCCTCCTGCTTTTAAAGGCTCCTTTGATTACATTGAGCCTGCATAGATGATCTCCCTATTTTAAGATCAACTGTACCATATAACATAACAGGAATGATACCTCATGTTCAAAGATTCCAGGGATTGGGGTTGGGGACATCTTTCGGGGAGACATTTTGGAAATTCTGCCTGCATTACCTACCTTTGATTAGATCCTGATTCTACTTTCTGGGAAAAACTCCCAAGTCCCATGGTAGCTGTTCTCTGGAGCAATGTATTGTATGTAATTTTCCTTAGCTACATTTGAAGTGAGAATTAGGGAGTATGCCTAACTTTTGCTATCTGCTTTCTGCTGGTATAAGCTTAGGATCCCAAAAGTTGTTTTCTAACTTGAACAATCAAAGGAGTTTTTAGTCCTGGCTTATGTTTCTTTGTAAATACAATTCCTTCACAAACTTAGATTTCTGATCTATTTGCTTCCATTGGATTCCATGTGCCAATAATTATACCCCAGATCCTTTCCCAGTCACAATTCTCAAGATAAACTTCTTTGTTTTCGTAGCCTTATGTCCCTCCCCTCCCTCACTTAATGGTGGCTAGTTCATTTGAAATCACGAATGGAATGGCCACATCCTTAATCTGATCTTTGATCTGGGTTCAACTAAAAAATTTTATGGGTTCTTTTTCACTCAAAGCTCTTTTTAGTTTTGCTGTTTGAGGTTTTGAAGCAGTCATATTTCCTAACCCTTCATAGTGAGCATTCTCCATATTTTTCCCCTTTCTGCTTCTAAATAGCCAGTTCTTTGCTGAGTGCTTTTCCCCGCTTGCAATACCTTGCCGAAGGCAGCCAATAAAGGTTCATATACTCCAGCACTCTGGTTCTTTCCAACTACTTCACTTAGATCAATAGGCTGCCCATGGGCTTCCTTTCAAGTTATTACATGTAAGACTTCACCAAATCTCTGTGTTTTGTTTACAAAATGGGTCACACTATTTCCAGGCCCTGATATCAGCTTCATATTTCCTGTCCCTTGACTGCTAAGCCAGCACTTCAATTTTGAAAATTTGTTCAAATTTCTGGTCTAAACATAGGCATTAGTCATGGTAGGCTAACTGCTGTGACAAATATTCCTAAATTTGAGTGGCTTAATATATTAAAATTTTGTTTCTTGCTCATGTCACAGTTGAATGCTTCGAATGCCCATTCAAAGAGTCAGATTCCACCTAGTGGTTCTGCCATCTTCTCGGGCCTTAAATCTTCAAATGAATGAATCCTCTATATTTGAGTAGGAAGAGGGGAATAAAGAGGGTGTGAAGTGTTGGTCAAGAGAATTTGTTTTTAGGAAATTAGATTTGGAAGGTTTACATTGCCCTGCACCTAGCTGCAAGAAAGACTGAAAAATGTAGTCTGTCTATGGAAATCAGAATGGTAAAAACTCGGCAGTCTCAAGCATAGCAAAATGTATTAATTAAAAAAAATTATAGCCCAGGAAGGTACAGGAAACTAGGATCAGGAATGGGGAAGGGGAGAAGGAGAGGAATCCAGTCCCTGGGAGGTAGCCCTTACTACAATAACCCAAGGACTGGGGACTTCTGGCTTGCTTTTGTGACACACTAATATCCAAAGGGTTGGGGCAAGATTTTGGCTCAGCTCCACAAAATGAGGAGGCATTTAGCTGCTGTCAAAGGTTTGGAAATGTGCTTTTATTTTGAAACTCAGGCATGTGACACTCTATAGTTCGATGCTAGAACACCTGTGTGAGGATTAACAACATTAGGAATCGACAGCCAGTGATACACAGATCCAGCATCTCCCTCTCCATTCACTCTGCCAGGCTGTGCATGGGGAGCAATACATATTGGCTTTGTGGCAGCTGGAAAGCAAAGGTCCTTTTAGGAGGTGACAACAATGACACAAACAGCACATCACTCTGCAATTGAAAATAGGCACCCAGAGTCCTAGGTCTAAGCAGTAATGTCAGACTTCAGAGGCATATTGAGGGGAACTTTTATTTCAGATCAACGTCACTATTGGAAATACAGGGCCTGTTTCTCTCCATTTCACTGCCGCTTTGGCAACAATTCCAGCTGCTTCAGGTCGATCTTTGCTCTTCAGAAAGAAATCCCGATGAGCACTTTTTCAGGAATTCACTTGGAAATGATGTGTTACTCTGGACCCCCCTTTTTTCCTCAATCTCCCTTACTCTCAGAGTAGGTTGACTGAGGACCTGGGGTGGAAGTACTCTTGCAGACCTTTCTGTGAAGCAGCTGGAGGTTCAGGGGCTCATCGCATCCCCTCTCCTGGCCTTTGTCTCAACTGAAAACAAAGGTAGGAACCCTATAGTCAAGTAGACAATGGGCCAGCTCAGCCTGGTTCTTCTTTAAGGGAGGCTGACACCGGACATTGCCGACCTGGAGGCCTGTCCTACAGCCACTCTCTCAGGAGCCCTATTTGCATCCTGTCTTTGGCTCTGAGGGTCTAAGCTCCTTTAGTGTGTCTGGTCACCCTGGAAGGGGCAGGGTAAACCATCTGTCTATGCCCCCAAATTTGTCTGCCTTGATCTGCACCTCTTTACCTTAATGGCACATCCTTTGTCAACCCTCGCTTAGTATTTGCTCACAGTGATTTTTTAGCCTCTGTAAAGCATTTCCCCTTTTAAAACATGCTGTTTTAAAATTTGTCCTGATCTACACAAGTCTTCCAAAAGGAGAAGTTGCATCAAGCCCAGTTCTTGAGCTTGGAAATGATGTTGCTAGTCGGGTCTCATTTCTGCTCTCTCTCAGAGTAGACTGAAAAATATTAGAATAAGTTGAGAGTTATAAAGATGTTATTTTTCTTATTGAGATAGTGGTGGTGATGGTATTGGAAAGTATGCAAAATGTCAGCTGTCCCCAGGTTGCTCTCTGCCACTTTGAAGGCTCCCTTGTTCTTTTGTCTAACATTTAATGACGTCCTCCCAAGCATTAGCCACCATGCTAGGCCCTTACCCAGAGAATGAGTAAGACATGGTTCTTGTCTTTGAGGGAAAAAATGCTAGGGGAGACAGACACATAAATAAGTTATTGCGATACTATCGTAATGATCAATTATGAAGATCTTTAAAAAGTGCCAGAAAGCACAGAGGAGGGTGTATTCTATTGTGTTGAGTATGGTAGGGAGTTGGAGGGAGGTCTATAAAGCCTATAGGGAAGGGATGATTTTTGTACTTGGTCCCGAAGAAAAGAGAATGATAGAAGGAAAACCAGTGAGTGGAGGAACAGAGCTGTGAGAGAAAATAGGTTAGCCTGGGAACCAGAAACGGTGTGGAGGAACTGAAGGGCCACTTGGGAGAATGGGACTGAAATATAAGGAGTCTGGTTAGGAGACCATTGGATGAGTCAATGTAGTACAGTGGTTAAGAGCACAGCCCCTGGGCCAGCCTGCCTGGGTTTGGTTCCGGCCCCACGACTTACTAACTGGGTGTCTTCAGAGTTACTTGTGTTTTTGTGCTTCAGTTTCCTTGTCTGAAAATGGGAATAGTAGTACCCACCTGATAGTTATTTGTTTTTCTTGAGGACTAAATAAATTAATACCTAGAACACTGTTTGTCTCGTAATAAGTTCGATATAAGTATTAGCAATGAAAACAAACAACATCAACAACAAAACAAAAACAAAAGCAAAACAATCACAATAAAACCCACATTGAAAGCAACATCTTCTAAAACCGGTGAGGGATGAATAAAGGCAGTGTCTGGGAAGGTGGAGCGAAGAAGTCTAATTGAACATGGGAAGTCTTCCTTCAGTGTTATACCCAACAATTGGGAATGCTCTGAAACATATGTTTGGGTTGGAAATTCCATTTGAACTGAAGCACTAAGGTGCAACTGCGCATTTGCATGTGAGTACATGGAGGTTGAAAGCACACCGTGTCTCCTCATTCACACGAGAGGTGGGTAAAGGCCTCTCAATGGAGAGAGAACAAATAGAGAATAGACTGTGCTATACAGTGGCTTAGAATTAGCACTTGAAATGGATACTAGCTAGTTCACCATTGAAGCCATGAGTTTTCAGTGTTTTTCAAATCTTAAATCCATGTGGAGAGCTCATTGAACAGGTACCTGGTGACTGTCTCATACCTAGTGAAAATCTGTGAGTTGGCTTTATCCAGAACACATACCCAGAGCACACGTTTGAGAGGTTGTTGGCTTCATGCACATGCGTGCTGTGTGTTATGTGTGTGTGTTGTGTGTATGTATAGATGCATATATGTTAATTCACATCTTCCCATTTCAAGCATTGAGCTAATTTCAGCCTAGATATTTTTCTGAGAAACCTTTCCTACTTTTGTAAAGAGAAACTCTGATTCCAAGGGGGCAAAAGGAGAGTCAGTAAGAATGAGATGGGGAAATGGAAAGATATTCACGCTGTGACTTTAAATTCCAGGCCGATCCTTGGGGTCAGAGTTAATCTTTGGGCACAATTTTTCCTGATTTCCTATTGCAACGAAGAAAAGGGGGAGAGTGAGCTTCTTATTGTCCCCTGCAGTGAAGGTGTTTTATTTTACCTGGCCATCTGGGCCAGGGGCAGGCGATTTTCCCTTCTGTTAGAGTTCCTTGGTGAAGGTGACTTCTTCATCCATCAACTGCTTTCCCAGGGCAGTTTTGTTGATCCTCCAAGAACATCAATTACTGTGTATAAATAGTTCCCACAGAGGTGCTGAGTGTGAAAGAGCCCCTACTTATTCCCTGACGGGCTGGCAGCAGTGTGCCCACACCCTGGCCTTGCAGCACTATACTTGGGGAAAGGGAGGTGGGCTGTATACTGGGGCGGGGCACTAGCTGGATGTCAGGTTTCCTTCTGCTCTGTAGGCTGCTCGTGCTGGAGTCCTGAGCTCCACCAGGAGTCCCTCTGGGCTGCGGAGCAAGTGGATCTCCCAAGGGGCCCATCAGCCTGTTCCACACAAGAGTTATAGGAATTGTACAGTCCCAGAACAACAGTCAAGACCAGCATCGCTGCAGCCATCATCCAGATAACTTGCCAGTGCTGACACAGTTTGGGATACATGACTTGTAAGAAATGAATCAATTCTTCAAGTTTGCTGTCAAATGAAAAAAATAGATGGAGAGTTTAGTATATTGGGCACGTATATGATGCCCAGATCCATACCTCTCTGTCTGGAATATCTATCATGCTATCTAAAACAGTGGTTCTCAAACTCAGCTGTGTATAGAGTCCCTTAGCAGCAATTATTCAAAATGACCCAGCTTTACTGAATAAGAGTCTCCAAAGGTATTCTCTAGGAATCTATAGTTTAAAATTTTCCCCAGGTGATTTTGATGCCACCAGTCCATAGCTTTAATGTTGGGAGCTACTGAGCTAGAACACTCGGTTCAATTTTTTGATCATTCACCCATTCACACATGACTTCTGTTCACGAGATGGTCACTGAATCTGAATTCTCCCAAGCCCCAAGATATAAGGTTGGCTGACCCATACTCCTATACATCCAGACAGGACCAGCATCTTTTCTGTACTTAGCAGTATTAGTGATCAATTCCAAGTTCGATCTTTCTCTGCCTCCATGCTCAGATGCATAGTTTGTTGTCCTCAGTTCCACATCTGACAATATCCAGAGTGGAAGGACTGTGCTAAACTAGGACATTCTTGATGTCAAGTGTTAATTGCGAGGAACCAGATCAACCTCAAGAGCTCACTTCAAATCATCCCAGAGGTAACCAGAGTACTAGTAGCCTCTGGATGTTTTCAACCCCATTAAACTTCATTTCCTAATTTTTCCCTCTTCTTCTTTCTCTTCTCTCTATACTCTTTCCTCTCCCCTTTCCACTCTCTTTTCTCTCTTCCCTCCTTTCCTTTCATCTCTCTCCCCCTCCATTTTTTTGCCTGTTTCACTTCCCTTTTTCCTGTTTCTGTTTCCCAATCAACCTTTCAACTTTTCCACTCTCGTTGTGGCCTAGTGAAAAGACATTTGGTCAGGTGACCCACTCTAAGGAGTCCATTCTTAGAGCTCTCTGGAGAAGCCCTGGATGCATTGATTAACGTAGAATTTCTTCCTGTTTCTAATCCCAGATCTATTTTAAAAAATATATATTTAAAACATGAGAATACTGAGGATCTCCAAATGGAGGAGGTGAGAAAAGTGACCTGGGGTAGGGTAGGAGGACTTTACAAAGATCTCGAGGCTCACACAGACACTGAAATATGCTGGCCCTTTGCTGACAAGTAGAGAGCTCTACTTCAGAGTTAGTGGGAAAAAGATGCCTTACAAAGGATGGAATGACTCAACAAACACTCTCTTTAAAAAGGGACCAGAGTACTTGCCTCAGATGCTAAGGTAAGGCACTGATTGGTTTCTTTTCCATGTAAGAACCCTCTGATGGCTGTTTCAGGAATAATCAAACAAAGCAAACAGTGAGCACCTTAGCGGAGGTGACATCCGCTGTTTTTACAACTGTTAGGAAGGGAGAGCTTGGAAATGGAAACATTTTTTTTTCAGCCCTAGATTCTCTAGTTTCTATGTAAATACAATTGGATGCTAAACTGCAGTGTTTCCTTTGGGCCATATTTCCATGCTCAAAACAGGCTGCTACAGTGGGGAGAATCCCACTCTAACTCCACCCTTGAGTGAGAATGTAAAAAGAGGTGGCCAAGATTTGGCTTTGTGACCTGTAGCTGGTCACTCATTTCCAGCCTATAAAAGAGGTTAGAAATAGATGAGAAATAGAATTCCTTTGGAAATCAATTTTTGGTTGTTCTGAGTTCTACCTATTCTTCCATAGTGAGGGGTGAGGTTGCCTCCCCCTTACCTGGGTCTAAATAGAGGGGCTTCAGGAATGCTGCTTGGAGAGCTAAATATGCTGCAGTAAGGGGGGACATAGTAGACAGGTATGTGACTCACACCTGAGAAATCTAAAGAGCAAGAATCTTGCCGAAGTACTTTGTGGCATCAGAGTAGGGGGCCATGATGGGGGAAACTATACTTCTACCATGAGTGGGCCAAAAGTACATATTTCATCCCAACTAGATGTAGTCAGGTGAAGGAAAGCTGGCATGGGATGTCATGGATCCTGCCTGGAAATGAAGGTCTACTTCCAGATGCCCAAGGACCAAGAGGGGAAGTTTAAGTGGCTAGCTGGAACAGATGCATCTATCCTCACAAGAGAACCTGAAGCTGAGAGAAGCTCAGTAATGATGTGAATGTGTGTGGTGCTGGGGTGGGAGGAGTTGCTTTCTCTGAAGGTCCCATAAAGCGCCATAATGAACAATAATATCAGTCAAGTAATGCCTTTCCTACCCCTTAAACTGAATTCCCTTTGCCAGCATTAACTCTGGAGAAGTCAGACGCTGCATTAGCAAAGGTGAGGCGTAGGGTAGGATTGTAAGTAGGAGATCGAGAGAGAAGCCATGCTCCCTGTGCCTGCTGTAGGCTTCTTCCTGAATCAGGCTAGAGCTGAGATAAGAAAGATGCTTTAACTTTATAAGAAGTTCAAGCTTTTGACTATTTCAGGGAAGTGACCATTTTAATTCTGAAATGAGGTTATTCTTGGAACTTAAACTTGACCAGAGGACATATGTTTTCTGAATTATTGGAAAAGTAAAGGAATCTACCTAATACCATCTTAACTCCAGAGAGCAGAATTGAACAGGCTGTAGAAGAAGAGAAAAGTTTTCTATTGCATCTTATGAGTCTTTTTCGTTCGTTGTATTACATAAATGTCAGAAGACTGTGTTCTCTGTTTTAATATGGTTAAGATATTGGGTTGATTCACCAAAGTTCATTTAAGCTGATCCTCCACAAAGTAATTTTTAAAACAGATTACATTATTATATGTTATTAAATATATATTAAATTCAGACAAAAAGACTTTAGTATTTGTTATTGAATCTCTTAAATAAAGGGTCAGCTGCTGGGATTACCAATTATTATTATTATTATTATTTTATTTTGAAATTTACTAAGTTGGACATGCAACTTTTAATGACTTCAGATGTTTCTTGTTAGTGAGATGTCAAAATTTCATGGGGGGATCATGTTTCAATGCAGGTACCTGCAGGCAACTGTGCATGTAAGGGACACAGGAATGAATGGATTGCCTGACCTTGAAGACAACAACTCTCAGGGCCAGTCTGGCTTAGGTTGCAGGTGAGGAAGGGAGCCTATAACTTTGAGTGGGCAATTAATATGATAGCAGTGTCAGCTGTTATGGGGGAAATGATGCCACATTGCTGGGCCTGAAAAGGTGAAGCCACACCCCTGTGCTGAAGGACAAGGCCCTTCTGAGGCCTGTGCCGATGCCTTGTATCAATCATCGCCTGTGGTAGAGGGATATACTCCAGGTCAAATGTAAATCTAAAAGAGAGCAAAGGTTAGGAAAGAGAACAAGTCCTCTCAGGATCAGCAAGACCAAGAGGACACTCTCGGATGATGGATGCAAAGGGTGGCCATTGCTACATGCTGCTGACCAGGAGCTGTACGGAGAGGGACTCAGGCACTGCCTTCTTTCTCTGGGGTTTCACAAAATGGGAGGGAGCTGCCAATCGCCTGAGGTCAAATTATCTAGATAAGGATTCCAGCCCTGTGCTTTGTAAACCAGACTGTTTATACTCCATGTACTCTCTCTGTTTAGTTCTCTTTTGTTCTTTCTTGGTGTTTGTAAATATTAGAAGTTCCAGCCTATGTTAGCTGTATTGAAGGGGGTCATAGGAAGGGCTATTGTCCAGGCCTGGGCTTGACTGCATTAAAAGGGAGGAAGGCAGTGTGCTGGTTTGCAAATAAGAGCAGAGGACCCCCCAAGAGGGAGTGAGGATATAAGGAGAACAGGATCCAGCGGATTAGGGTAGGAACTGTGCTTTTATTGTTAAAACTTGGGGGTTCTTTCATTAAGGGAGGTGGTGCATCCCAGTGCAGATTTGTTTTCACTGGTGAGGCATTCTTCCTGTTCTCCTAGATTGCTCTTCCTTTGAATATTGGGGTTACTCATGCAAGCTGAGGCCTCTCACTCCAGTTGAATCTCTACCAAATGAGTTCTATTGATTGTTCCTATGTGGTTTGAAGCATATCTATCTCACGTCTCATCTTCATTTTATTACCTTATTTGTTACATGCATGTAATTTCCAGAGTCTGCCAGCCATGAGGACACATACCCTTTCCCAAGTTTAAAAGCTAATTAAATAATTAATCATTTTGGCTGGAGCTACCCTCAAACCCAGGATAGACTGGGGTTCTAAAAACAAAGATTTTGGTGAAGTGTTCCAAGTTGGCAGTAACCACATTTTTAAATATCAAAATTCAAGACTTCTGGTTTGAATATACTAATAGAGTCAATAGGGCAGAATATATGAAACTGGGACTATCATTAAAATCTAGGATGTTGATGTAGTCACTATATCCATATCCATAGGGCACAGGCAAGACAAGATGCAGAATCTATATTCTTTATCTACATGATTATGTGTGTGTGTGTGTGTGTGTGTGTGTGTGTGTGTATTCATATATATTCATTCCAGATTTAGAGAAAAATACGTTTGAAATCTAAAGTATATTTTTAATTTTAATTTTTTTTTTTCAGGCGAGGCAACCTTTAGTTGACCTCAAAGATTGCAAGGACCTTGTCAGCTTACAATCCCTTATTTTTTATTTTTTACCCCTATAGCACCTGGTCTTCCTAGGTGGTCTCCCATCCAAGTACCAACCAGGCCCGACCCTGCTTAGCTTCTGAGATCAGATGGGATTGAGCTTGTTCAGGGTGGCATGGCTGCAGACCTTAAAGTATACTAAAAAAACAAAACAAAACAAAACAAAAAAACCAGGTATTTCCAATCCAAAGTTAAAATATTGTCCAAGTGACCAAACTTTTTTGATCGGCATAGGAGAGACCTGTTGGAAACTTACCTTTGCCACCAAGCTGAGTTTGTCCCTTGCCACCATCTGTTTTCTCTGCCTCTGTTCTTATAAGAAACCTCTTCTAGGGCTTCAGGCCAGCTCCCTTGACCTTGGCTCGTTCATGGGAATGGCTAGGAAAGGATCTAACTGTGGCTAGGCTGCTAAAGGGGTCCCTTGCAGTTTTTTAGCTTTTGAGAGCTCCCGATTGCTGCCGTCTCTGCCCTTGACCACCTCTAACACTCAGCTCTAGCAAACATCCCTTTGTTAATTACTTTGGCTCTTTGGGATTTCCTCGGTCTCCACCCCCAACTTGAGTACCCTCTTGTTTTCTGTCGGTTGCTCATTTGGCCCATAGACTCATTGATGCCCTGGACTGACTTCTCCAGAGGTATTATGCAGTTAAATGAATTGTGACCCATTTCAGCAGTGGCAAGGGCTCCAACCTGCTTCTCTGGTTCTTTTCTTCTTCTTCTTCAGTCTCTTCTACCTCTTCAGGTTCCTCCGGACTCTCACTCTTTTGTTCTTCCTCCTCTTCCTTTAGGTCTTGAAGCTCTTTGGTCTTCTTTAGACCTTCCTGGTATCTGGAAGGCAAAAAGGAACAGTTGAGTCTGCAAAGGCCAGGCACAGAGCATCCTTTCCTGAGTTCTTAGACGAGGGAACTTGAGCACCTCTGATAATCACGCACTTCCTGTGGTTCCACACAACAGGAAAAAGCTGGGAAGCTCCACTGAATCCCAAGGTGGCTCATGTGAGTACAATTTCCCCTCACTCCTCAGTCATCCTTCCTGTTTATGAAAGTGTGACAAAACTGACAGGGACAAACTGTGGATGCAGTCTCCTGGTTTGGTTTTTGTCCTACAAAGTGTTCAGTAGCACTGAGATTGCATCTGCTTTCTGTGTAACCTTGGAGCTTCAGCTCCTCACCTGTAAAATGGAGAGGGTGGCACTCGTCTCATAGGGTGTTGGAATGTTTTGAGGAGGTGGCTTGATTTAGGGAAGGTGACACCTGTCACACAGGCTTGTTGGGAAGTTTCACAGAAGTGCCAGGCACACAGCTTGTCCTAGAGAGGTACTCAATAAATGTTTACAAAGCCAATGAAGGCATTTACCTGCATGCATTCTGAGAGTACAGAGGACAGTTGTGGGTGAAAAGACAGGTTTTCCATGAGAAACTCTTCTGATCTCCTTCTCCCAGGATCAATATTACCCTGAGCATACACTTTCTGCTTGTCCTACAGCTGAGTATTTAAGGCCAGCACAGTTTGGCTGGGGCAACCCCAGCCAAATGTGCAACCTGTGTGTGGGCTTGTATGTGGCAGCCAGGTGTACGTGGCTGCTGCACAGAATCCCACACAGAGGTGGCACATCAGTGGGAAGCTGTGTCTCCCTAGTAGCCACAGGGAAAGAACTAACAATGTGATGCCTGGTCAGAGGCAATTCTCTACCTGGCTGGGCTTGGGTTCTGCTCAGTTCTTTGTCTCATCAGTGACAGACCAGCCAGAGGTGCTAATGAAGCTCAATTAGAGAAGGAGGCAGTTGGAAGTTGAGCGGACTCCAGTTTATTGGAAAAAGGGATGGCTGGGGCAGTTCTAGGAAGTGGAGTAGTAGCTGCTCTCAGGCATTTTTGGCAGCAATATGACTGTTCTGGATTCTCAGGAAGCCTCAGGCACCGCCAAGAGACACCCACCCAGGGCCTTTGATTTCTAGATCATTCTGGGCAGTGATATTCTGGCGGCTTTCTGCCTAAAAAGAGGGCAGTTTTGTTATTGTCTGACCACATCCTCTCACCCTGCTTCCTCCTGTCCTTCCTGTGGAACAGTACTGCTCTTTCTAATGTAGTTTCTTACTAAGCAAGGCGGTCCTGGGGCCACTGATTACTTCCCTAAATCCGCTAAGAGATAAGAAAGGTCCATGGGAAGGTATCTTCTGAGACTTGTCAGGTGACCTCAGGGCAGCTGAAGTCTGACTCACCCCTTGTTGTACGCTTCTTCCTCCATCCTGGCCTTGGTCACCTGGCTAATCTCCTCCAGGCAGATTGGAGTCGGCATGGGAGCAGAGGCTTCACAATCTGGGTCGCCATTTGTTTTTCCACTAGTGAGAAGAGGGAAGTACAAGGCGTCCTTTCAGAGGCAGATTAGGCATCTGAAAACCAAACCATGTCTTTGGCCTGATTCCTGATCACAAGTGAGGAAACTCATTAGATTGAATTCATTTCAGTCTTTCTGCCTTGAGACAAGATTTTATAGAGGCCCTAGGCCATGAATCCTCCATAGACCCCAAACACCAAATACTGTACCAGTTCTCCCTTTTCTTCATGCTCTCAAATCCACCTTTATTCTTATTCCAGGAGATGCTGTGGGTAGACAGACTGCTATTGGGATCTCCACAGCACTGAGATGAGGAAGATGGAGGTGGACCAAAATGTTCAGGATCATTCCATTCCTGTGTCCATCTTTTGCTTCATTCATATAAATATCTACCGAGTACTGACTAAGGCACAGGCATCTTATAATGTGCTAGGGATACATCAGAAAATAAATGATCTTTGCCAACACAGAGCTTAGCAGGAGAGAAAGCCCCCCAAAAGAAAAACATATGTAATTCATTACAAATTGTAATAACTTTTATGAAAGAAACAAACTCTGTTCAGTGACAGAAAGTAATGAGAGAATCTACTTGGATGGAGTGGTTGAAAAAGGCCTGAGGTGGTGTAACTGAAGTATAGACCTAAAAGATGAGACATCAGCCATCTCTATAGCAGAAGGAAGATAAGCCTAGATAGAGGAAGTAGGATGCATGAAGACCCTGCGACACAAAAGACGGGGAGGTACTTGAGGAACTGAAAAGAGGCAGTAGGCAGGAGTTAACTTTTGGATAAGATAAATTTTAGGTATCTAAGTGGAGATATCAAGTAGGTAGTTGGATATAACAAGTGAATTTGAGAAGAGCTCAAGAAGATATCTGTGAGGTATCTAAGTGGAGATATCAAGTAGGTAGTTGGATATAACAAGTGAATTTGAGAAGAGCTCAAGAAGATATCTGTGAGGTATCTAAGTGGAGATATCAAGTAGGTAGTTGGATATAACAAGTGAATTTGAGAAGAGCTCAAGAAGATATCTGTGAGGTATCTAAGTGGAGATATCAAGTAGGTAGTTGGATATAACAAGTGAATTTGAGAAGAGCTCAAGAAGATATCTGTGAGGTATCTAAGTGGAGATATCAAGTAGGTAGTTGGATATAACAAGTGAATTTGAGAAGAGCTCAAGAAGATATCTGTGAGGTATCTAAGTGGAGATATCAAGTAGGTAGTTGGATATAACAAGTGAGTTTGAGAAGAGCTCTAGAGCTGGAGACATTCATTTGTCATCATCATAATACAGATGATATTTAAAGTGAGAGGAATGGATAAGATTGCCTACGGAGATAGTATGAGGAAAGATGAGAAGAGGACCCAGGACTAAGCTATGGGCATCTCTTCCCTTAGCTCAGTTGGAGAAGAAGGAGCTGACAGAGGAAAATGAAAAGTAGCAGCCAGATAGGTAGGAGAAAAACCAAGACAGCATGGAGTCCTGGGAGCCAAGAGAGGATAGTGTGCCAAGGAGGAAGTTAAGTGTATCGTACACACACTTCTGAGAGTCTGCATCAGATGGGTCAAATTTGATTTGATAATATGAAGATCAAGAGGAGCTTTCATGAAATGGTGGGAGCCAAAGACAGATTGGTAAAGCATGGGCTTAGTAAAGAATGAGAAGTGAGAAAGGGAAAGACATCGAAACAGTAATTTGACCAGGAAGGTGAGTAGGAGAGTGTGTTGGGGAAATGCGTAGCTGAAGAGGTGGGTCAGGGAATGAAAGCACATTTGAATGTGGACAGAAATGATACAATAGAGGGAATGAGAGAAAAGGGATGAGCAAAGGAACAAATTTGTTTGAAAGGGAAGTAGAGAAAGACCTTAGAAAGAGTGAGAAACTTCTCCTTGGTTATAACAAAGGGAGGAAGATCTGTATGGTAGGTTGTGGGTTGGAGATCTGGTAAAGAAAGATGAGAGGGCTCCTATCTGATATTTTAAAATTTCTCTATAAAGTGGAAGACAAGGTCATCTGCCGAGAATAAAAAGTAGAGAGGCCTAGGAAGGTTTGAGGAGAGAGAATGCATAAAATGTGAGAAGGGGGGAATACAAACATGCTAGGAAATCATAGTAGGATGACTGGGCAGGACTGGAAGCCCATTTGAGGTATGGGATCACAAGTTTAAAGGAAGTATCCTGATGGCCATGCCTTTCCTATAGATCCTACTACCCTCCTAGGTATCCAACATTCAGATCAATGGGATTCATGTCAAGGAGGAGCCTTCAGATAAGGCAGAACGGTGAACAGAACTTCTGAGTCAGGACTCTGACAGATCACAGCTGCCACCCTCTCCAACCCCTCAGGCAGGCTTTATGTGTGAGCCTTACACTTTCTCCTCATTCTTGGCATCAGTTTCACAGCTCTTAGTTTTCCTCAGACCTTGTAAAATTTACTTTTCATCGTGCTGGAAACCAAAACCCATTGTGAACAAGAAAAATAACACTCTAAAAATATCAGCTATTCATAACATTTCTCCTTTTGCAAATTACATTATCTACTCCTTTCCATGTGACCTTTGTCTAATGTGCAGTTTCCTATTTGTCCAAATGACAGAAACAAGAGCAGGAAAACATAGCTATGGCCAGGGGCAAGGAAAGTAATTCTTTTGTTAAATTAATTTATATATTAGAAATAAAATATAGGTATCAGACTTAATTTCTTTTATCTGCAGCTGCCAACCTTAGAGGTTAATGAAAAACGTGTCAGCGTAGTGCAGAGGCAAACATGGGTTCGAACTTCAGCTCCAACACATGCAAATTACTTAACTTTCCTGAACTTCAGATTCCACCACTGTCAAATCAGGATAATAATGTGTACCTGAAAGTGGTAGTATAAAAATTAATCAAGAAATATAAGGAAACTGCAACATGGTACTCAACAAATAATGTTTATTATTGTTATTAGTGATGTAGTAAATTTATTGGTAACTTTTGGGAGCAATCTGAGGTTCTTCCGAACCCAATCCGTAAAAAACTCTAAGCTGTTAAATTATCAAGTGATCATTTATATCTTTAAGAGAGGATTAAATATAGATTCCTCTGACACTCAGAATCAGGAATCCTAAATGTGACTTTAAAGTATGTTAAAACTGACATAAAATTGCTGTAATAAATTTCTCAAGTGCCTGTATGTTTTGTGCCATAACACTTATGTACTTTCGAGTTTTGCTGACCAAATGATGGAAAACTAAACTTTCACTATCCTCAGGTTACTGATCTGTGGAGACTAAAACTTTTCCCTGGTAGATTCAGGAAGCCCATTTTAACAACTTTTAACAGGAGGATCCAGAGTCCAGCTCTCCTAGGTGAGTTGATTGCCCTGTTCAACTCAACTCACTCAACTATGGGGTTTTAGTTGTTAACATGCTCTCACATATATTCTCTATCATTGACCCTTCCAATGATTAGAAGAGCTAACATCCTAAGTTTTGGGCTCTGTGCTAATATCTCACTTATGACTCCTGAATGACCCAATAAGGCAGGTAATACTATTGTTCTCAGTTTGACAGGCAAGGAAATCAAGACTCGGAGAAGTTAAATAACAAGCTCAAGATCACACAATCAGTATTTGGCAGAACTCAAATTTGACCTTGTGCAGTCTGATGTGCTCTTGCCTGCACTATCCGCCACTCACGTGGGATATGATCCCATTTGAAAGATAAGAAACCCAAGCTCGGGTTCATTAAATGACTTGCCTACATTCACCTTACCAGCGGTTGGTGGGCCTGGCTGGAACTCTCACCTTGGTTTTCTTACTTCTTGTCAAAGTGTACTTTCCACATCTCCTTGAGCCCTCTCTTTCAACGGAAGTCTTTTACTGGGGCTCTGAGCAGTGCATGGGGTTTCATGGAACCTGCTGAGTGAAGCCATTCCTGCCCTTATGCTGGGCCATGGATTATGATGTGGCCCTTCTTTTAAATGCTGCTTGTTTAGAGTGAAAGAGGTGGGTTAGGAGAACCTTTGGTTTAATACTGGATAGGTTTGGAGAAACACACAATATGTAAAATGTTTGCTGTTATTTCCTAACTCCTAGACTGAGCTTATATTTCCTGAAATATCTTCTCCAATGACCTGGAGGTTTCTCCTTGGGCATCTTTAAGACTTAGCTCAGATATGTTCTTCTCTGTGGAATCTTTGCAAATGTTTCCTCACTGATCACAAACTCTGCTTAAAGTTGATCTCTTCCTCCCTCTGTGCCCTCATTGCACCTCTGTTACAGCAAAACTTGGAGATAGGGCATTTTATGCTTTATATACATGCCCATCCCTCCATATGACTGTGATCGCAGGGAGAGGCCTTGTTTGAGTTAGAATGGTGCTTCACACAATAAGTGCCTTTGTTTGTTGAGCTGCATTGACTTCACTGTGGCTCATCTAGTTCCTGCCTATAAATCTTGTAAAATGGGCAGGTCTTCTCTATAAACAGCTATTTCCTGAGAACCAAAGGTTTGAATCGAGCTGAAGGAATCTCTATTCATGACTATAAACTTGGAGCTGAACACAGCCTGTGCCCACTCTAAGAATTTCTGGACCAGACACTCATGGATCTTGGCAACTATTCTCAGCCCTAATCTTTCGTACTTTCTTTCTGGGACGATTCATTAAAATGAGGCTCATTGTTCTCTCATGTCTACTGGGTCAACAATGTTTGTCTTTGCGGTCAGTTCTCAGTAACATAGGGCTATTTAGTCAAAATGTGTTGTTTGACCAGAAGGTATATTAGAGTCTATTTTTTTCCATGTGGTAAACAATATTTGAGAGTAATTACAATCCTTTGTAGTGGACAGATCTTACCTTCTTGAGCTCAGCAATGTCGCTATGCCACCCCTACTGCCATGGCTTCCTCAGATGAGCCCAGCCCAAGGGACCTGAGCTAGAAGAGCTTCCTTACTCCCTATTACTCAGTTTCAGATTCCTGGGGTCCCCTACTAGTTGATTGAAGGCTAATTCATTCCAGAATACTATCAGCAAAGAGGAATTGCTTTTTGTAGGCATTTTAGGTCATATTAAACTAATGTAGGGAGGAGGCAAGAGAACTAAAATGTTAAATCAAGCAATATTCAGACACTGCGATATGCTGATCAGCCCTGCATTCAGACCACTATGAAACCTGCAGAACAAAGGAAGATTCTGCTGGGATTGCTAACAACCCACACAGTGAAGGGAAAACAGTCTTTAAGTAGCACCCTACACAAAATAAAATCATTCATTCTCTATAGCTAAAACCATGGAAAACCTACGGATTACAGGCTGAAAATTTCCAGCAGGCCTTTCATGCTACGTATTCTTAACTTTTCACGCTACATACTCTTATTCTTCACTGCATGTCCATATCAAAGGAAAATGGGTAAACAAAGTCTTTAAACTGTAACTCACAGGCACTAAAGGGTGATATATAAATTGAATTCCCCAAATACTTGGAGCCCCTCTCTGTGTCTTTACTTTGTCTCTCTCACTGTCCTCGTCTCTCTCTATTGTCTCTCTCCCTCTGAGTCTCTCTTAGGCTCTCTCACTCTGACTCTGAGAGGAGATCATGCTCTGTCTATGGAATGTGAACACTTCTTCAATAAACTTTCCTTTGACTCTAACTTTGGCATGTGTTTGAATGTTTTCTTACACTCCACCAAGAACCTTCTTCCCTCTTAGTGCAGGCCTTGAGTCTCCTTCCACACAGGGGCATTTACCCTGTCCTGCATCAAAACGTTAAAGCAATATATCCTGCTGTTTCAGAAGTATACAAAAATGGTTTAGAGATTATAGTTAAAATTGCTCTGTGATTCATCAGTATAACAACCCCTTTTATGAAACTAGCCCTATATGTCACCCACATCTGGCTTTGCTGATCCCCCAGTAAATGTCTCCACATATACCTTCTGCTCCCACCCCACTCTGCCCTCCACTCAACACATAGCCAGGTTCTTTCGCAATTGCTCATAAGAGCTCTTTAAAAAATAGCTTTTAAATCCATCCTCTTCTCTCCAGTCATACTGAACTTTCTGTTCTTCTGGTTAGGAACCCTATTAAGAGGTTGAGAGCATGAGTTCTGCTATTTATTAGCTGTGATGATTTCTCTGAGTGTCATCTATAAAATAAGGATATTAATACAGTACCTATCTCATGGGATTGTTGTAAGGATTAAATTAGATCATTAATGTCAAGCGATTAGAATAGCACTTGGCATAAAGTAAGTATCCAGTAAATAATAAGAGTAATTATCATTATCATTATCATTATTATTCCTTGACTACTCCATACTTTCTCACCTCAGAGCCTGGAATGTTGTTAACCTTTAGTTTACCTAGTTAGCTATATAACTTTCAGGTTTTACTTTAAAAGTAAATTCCTAGAGGAAATATTTTCTGAGCCCTCCTCCACCCCCCATCACTCTGTCCATACCAGGACCAAATCTGGGTTAAGGTGCTCATTTCCCTGTGTGTCGTTCCCCTAGCAACCTGTACTTCCTTATGATATCACCTTTCACATTTTAATGGGCTGTTTCCCATTTTTCTTTCCCATTAGATTGTGAGCTCCTTGAGTGAATTCTAAGTGCCTGGCCCTTGGAGACTAATTGTTGAAGGAATGAAAGAATGAAAGACAACAACAAAAATAGCTCCTCCTCCTTGTGGAACTGCTCTTGAGCTTTGTTCTGTTTTAATCTTTAAGACACTTTAAACACAGTAGTCCCCACCCATCTGTGGTTTCACTTTCTGTGGTTTCAGTTACCTGCAGTCAACTGTAGTCCGAAAACATTAAATGAAAAATTCCAGAAATAAACAATTCATAAGTTTTAAGTTGTGTGCCATTCAGAGCAACAAGATTAAATCTCATGTCATCCTACTCCATCTCACCTGGGATGTGAATCATCCCTTTGTCCTGCTGTATGCACTATTGGCCTGTTAGTCATTTAGCAGACTAACATGGTATCGCAATGCTTGTGTTCATGTAAGTCTTATTTTACTTAATAATAGTCCCAAAGTGCAAGAGTAGTGATGCTGGCAATTCAGATAGGCCAAAGAGAAGCCATAAAGTTCTTACTTTAAGTGAAAAGGTGAGTACAGTACAACAAGATATTTTGAGAGAAAGGTATCACATGCTCATAACTTTTAATATAGTATATTGTTATAATTATTCTATTTTATTTTTAGTTGTTAATCTCTTGCAGTGCCTAATTTGTAAATTAAACTTTATAATAGGTATATATGTATAGAAAAAAACAGTATATATAGGGTTTAATATTATCCACATTTTCACTCATCCACTGAGAGTCTTGGAATATATCCCAAGGGAGGACACTCTACCATTCTTTATATATTTTTCTAAGCCTACAGGTTTCTAGACCCTTGTTGAGCAGTTTACTAGGAAATGACCCAGTAAGTGACCAAGGCTCAGAATTCTCTCAAATTACACCGGGCAATGCAGTCAACTCTCAAGTATTTGCTTGAGAACTAGCCACAGGCAATTTGATCTTCTCATTATTTTTTCCCTGCTTAGCTAATTCCCTCTTGCTTGGCCACTGTACGCTTGGAAAATGTGAAACCATTTTTACAGACTGGGTGTATTCCCAACAGAAGAGTCAGCCATAGCATGGGCAATGTATCATGGTGATCTCTCTGGGTAGCCCATAAGAGTGAACTGCAGAAATTTTCCTGGAGCTTCTTTCTTGAGTTGCCTCAGTCCTCACTCTGTCTTTATCTTTCCTGTTTTTTGTTTGTTTGTTTGTTTGCTTTTTGGAATCTTTCCAAACTTTGGAATGGTGATATCACCATTGATGCTCATTCATTGCCACATCTGATTTTGAGCTGCTGCCTGCCATCCCCAGTTTTGCACCTCACTTTCTCCTACCAAAGATAGCTCAGGTTTCTGATGATCCCCACTGCCTCAGACAGAAGCTCTCAGCTGGCTTCAACATTAGTTATACAGGGCCCAGGCCCTGCCTTGTTATGATTAATCTGTTGAGGAAAGTGGGGACATAAATCTTTTGCCTTTACTGGCTCTACAGGCCAAGAGTTGGGAATGGAGCTTGCTGGGGGCCCTCCTGGAGAAGGGGTTGGTATAACCACAGGCAGGACTGGAAGGGAGAATTTTAGTGCACGTCTCACTCAAGGCATAAGTTATCATTTCTGGAGAAATTCAGAGACCGTGGACTAGACACTGACTCTAGGGACGTGGTAAGATTCTGTAACTTTGGTTACTTCCATATGTTTTTCAGTTTGTCATCCCTTCACAGTTTCCTTGTAGTGATCAGGAAAATAAGGAAACAAAGAAACAAACAAAAATACCTTATACAACATGAAGGAACTGTGAGCTTATGTGGGGTAAGATGGCAAAGAGGAAATGCTGAGCAAACTTTTAGACTAATGTGGGGTGAGTCACTGAGGCATAGGTTGGTGGCTGATATACTGAGAAGTGAGGCAAACAGGCTAAGTCTGGGAGTGGGGAGCTTGGGAACAACATAGACATTTCCTGCCAGGTCAAGCAAAATTATTTTAACAACAATGAAAAATAAAGGACTAAAACTGTCTCAAAGAAAGGAAGAAGGAAGAATAGGGGTGTATGTTCTACCAAGTGAGGAAAGACACAAGGGGAAAGTTCTGAGAAGTGGCAGCTGTGATCCAGATGTTTTCCAGCAAGCAAATGAAAGAATTTGAAAAGCAAGTTGTAAACGCCTCTGAGTGTGTAGAAACAGCCTGACTTACTCTGGCTGAGGATAAAAAGATCTACAAATTTCATAGATTCCTAGAAAAGTTACGCTTAGCAGACACTGTTGGTTGCCCATCCAATACTCATCCCCTTCCTACTCCCTAACGGCAACATGGTTTTGTTTAGGAATTTACTCTTTTTGGAGCCATTTTGCTTCATGGGAAGCTGACCCTGTCTTTCCAGGGGATAGTTTGAGACCATGATGACAATCCCATTTCCAAAATCCTGTGATTGGTTTAGAAAAGGACCATGTTCCAAATTTGCCAATCAGATAAAAAGGAAGACTGAAGGCTCCTGGGTTCATTCCTAAGAAAGAAACATGGGAAGAGGTGGTCCCTTTTCCTCTAGATATTGTTATGTCTGGATAGGATACCTGGAACTAGCAGCTATTTGCCATAAGCCTACTGAGGAAGTCAACATATAAAGTGAGCAGAGACAAAGAAATTGTAGAGGCCAAGCTGGGACCCTACTGTGCCACACCTGGAGCAGCCCCACCTCAGGACTTATTTAAGACCCTTTAAGTTGGAGCTTGCTTTTATCTGTAGCCCAAAGAATTCCAAATACCAGAGAAAGCTTCCATCTCCTCTGGGCTCTTCTTAGACTGTGGTACCCTTGGCCTCAGCCACAGCATCTTCCTGGTCTAGGAATTTTGCAAACTGGGTCTGAAGTCTTTGTGGGGTCTCAGAGTCCCACTCGTTTTCCCTAGAACTCAATTTGCTTTCCATCTCATTTTGCGAGTAGGGATGGGAGGAAAGACGAGCTGGGGAAGTTTTCCTCAGAGATCCCCAAAATTCAGAGGAAAACTAACAAACTTACTTTTCCAAAAGTGCAGGCAATGCTGAGGTGACGACAGGTAGGTTGCCTTTCCCACTGGGTGATTCTGACTGAATGGAAAACAAGAGACAGAAAATTGAGGATCAGCTAGAAGGAAGAAGCCAGAGCTGCTGGGTCTCTGATGATGCTGAGGGTGAAGGGGCTGCTGCTGCTTTTTCTCTTTACCCTTCTCCCTGCCCCATGCTTTCTAATCTTCATTTGAGACCAGGCATTGGCCCTTTCCTCAGGCCTTCTCTGTCCTCTTTTCCTCAGTATTCTTTCTCTCTAGGGCACATGCAACTTGTAACTTTTCCTTCTCCTCTTCCAAGTTCCACTGAGCAAAGAGAAGAGTTTATACTGGGAGGCTCCATTCTGGAGGGGAGCCATTAGTTTTTCTCTGTCCCCTGTTTACTGACTTGGACTAAATACCATGGGCCTCCTACCAAATGCAGGCCCCACGGTCCCTGGGATGAATTGTTGCAAGCCCATCAACTGCCCTGGAGATGCAGCTCCAAGCACAATTCTCAGGAGATGTCTGTCATTACTTAACAATCAAGCCATCAGAAATTTCTTCATACTAAATTCCCTAGGACCTTGTTTTGTTGTAATAGATTTGATTTCAACAATTGTTCTCAACTCTGGCTGCCCATTAGAATCACCTGGGGGAGAGTTTTGAAAGTACTAATCCAATTCAGAATCTTGGGGTGGGGCCTGGGCATAGAATGTTTAAAAAGCACCCCATATGATTTTAATGTGCATCTCCTTGTTGCCAACCCCTAGTCTAAAGGAATATATGTATTTAGAAACATTTATACATTTAGTATAGTATGGGAAAAAGGTCCTTTAAAATAAACTAACTAGTCCTTCCCAAGCACCTTAAAAAAAATTTTTTTTTTGTTTTCCTTTTTTTAGTGGGTGATTTGGGAATTTGTTGATTTCATGGATGATTGAAATGCTCAAGACAGGAAGAGGTGAAAGAAGTTAAAGAGTTATTGCTACCCATATACCAATAGGCATAAATAGAGCTTGAATCTACTTTTCCTATTGTTTACACAATCAGATTGTTTCCTTATAGAGTAGTGCTAGTCATGGACAGGGCATAGAGAAACAACTGGAGAAAGAATGAGAGGCTTTAGATAGGATTAACAAGATTCACAAAGCCCTGGGATCTAGAAAATATTTTGTTATATGGGAACTGTCTTTGTTTAAAAAAAAAATTGAAATGGATATTTTTCTGATTATAAGTAATACATTCTTATAGAAATATAGAAAGGCATCAAGAAAATAAAAATCACCTGTGGTTTTACTGTTGTCCAGCAATAACCGTTATTAAGTTTTACATATATTCCTCTAGAATTTTCTGTCTACACACGAATAGCACTTTTTAAAAAAAATACAAGACAGAATCGTACTGCATATACTGTTTTTTGTATATACTGTTTTTAATTGCTTTTTATTAATAAGAAATTATAGATTTTTTTGCCATTAAAGATTTATATTTAATCACTATTTTTAGCAACTACATAAAAACCTGTGCCCTGTCCATGACTACCACTACTGTATAAGGAAACAATCTGATTAATAAGGGATTTCTATAATTTATTTAACCAATCTCTTACTAATGGACATTTGGGTAGTTTTCAGTATTTCATTGTTATAAACAAAGCTGCAATGAGTCGAGGCAGGATAACATTGGGTTTCAAAATTCAAACTCTGGATTCAGACAGCCTAGGGTTTACAAATCAGTTCTATCACTTACTATACAATGTAATCTTCAACTGTTTAAACCGATTGCAAAGTGGGAAAAAAATCATACCCACCTTGGTGGGTTGTAGTTTAAGCATGAAAGTTGATATCGCTCATAAGGAACACTCTCAGAGATGCCAGCCTCCTGCTCAAGGATACTGAGTCTTCTTCTCAGGGCAGTGGAAGACAAGGAGTCTAGTTTCTATTCTTTTTAACACATAGCCCAGAATCTGCAGTGGGAATGTCCTCACCTTGTTGATCCTGCCCTCATCTAGGTCACCCCCATATTAGTGAGCCTGAGGAAGATGTCAAATATTTCCAGCAGGCAGGCATCATCATACTCACCAGAGCTGGTAAGGAGGGGAGGGAAGATGAACTTGGAGGTTGGCTGGGCAGGTTCAGGGCATTAAACTTGGGAACCACAGCAACGCTGACCCTGCGGCGGGGCATATTCTGTAGAAAGAGAAGTGACCAGGCCACTGTCATGGAGAGAGCAGCACCCACAGTTCAGAAAGTCCTGGAAAACGCCTACTTGTTCCTAATGTTGTAATAACATTCACTGCATATTTTGGCTTTGGGGTAGTGATGGTGGGGGTTGGTGTGGAGAAAGTAGCCTAAGTTGACACAAATTTTCTGTTAGTGATGAGCGATTTCTCATCATGTTTCTATTTTAGCTTCTTAGATTCTGAATAGTGTATGAAATCATTAGCGATACCTAGGTTTATGCACCATTTAAGGGATGGTATAGTCAGGAGAACCACGAGTGAGAAAAAGTTGGAGGATGAGCTAGCAGGTGTAGGAAGGTGAATTAGAGACTGGCCAGAGGTTCTCTGGCACCTGAGGATCCAGAATGAATGAGCTCCTGGGGGACTGTGGGACTTCTGCTGTACTCCCTCTGGGAGCCCTGGGATTCCTTGAACATGCATACCTTTCCCAGCGTGAGGGACATGGACCGCGCTGTGCGAGGGACTCCATCTTCTGCAATAGGAGGGAACAGAGAACTCAGGTAAGTTTCCAGAGTAGGCTCCAGCAGGAAGAAGATCGTCAGAAACTAAGCCAATGTATCTATTGCCCTCCAGGGATGGCCCAAAGGCCTAGGTGTTGGGGACACTGAAAGTTTGACTCTTCACCCTCTGATACAATCATCTGCAGAGTGGGGACTTTTTAAAACAGAACCTTTATCCTAACTCTTCTGTGCTCTGTGAGAAGCCCCAGTCTTGGACCTCTTTTCGCCACCTGATGCCACTGCACAGTCTCTGGGTAACAACACTCTGGAGAATGCATGAAAACTACTCGTAGCAATACCAAGGCTTATGAGGTCATTTCTTGCTCATTCAAGGGACTTAAATGTTGTGCCAATCATCTAGGTTATGTTATCATAACGAACAACCCCACAGTCTTTACGGCTTATCATAACGAACAACCCCACAGTCTTTACGGCTTATAATAAAGATTTATTTCTTGCTTATGCTACATGTCCATTTGCTTTTGAGTTAGCAGCAGGCTCTGCTCTGCATTTCCTTACTGGAGCTTCTACTATTCCGGAGCAGTGATGATTGTCATGTCAGGTGAAAGAAACATAGGGAAAAAAATGCACACTTGTTTCTTAAAAGTCTCAGCTCAAATGTGACACATATCTTTTGCTCACATTTTATTCACCAAGTCACATGGCCTCACCTAACTAGAAGGGGATGGAGAAGTGTACCCAGAAGGAAGAGAAAGGGAATAATGAGGAACAGCCTCAATTAGAGTAACCACCACACTCGCACTACTGATTTTAATTTCCACGACTTTTTCTCATTTCTAGGAGTTCTATTTTATTTTTTTTGATAATTATATTCTTTTGGTTTCATATTTTTGACTTATTCTTTTATGCCTCTAATAGTTTTAAACATATCTTTTTTAAATTATCAGATTATTTTATTATCTATGGTCCTTAGGATATAATCCTGCTGTTTGGTGTGTCTGATGGTTCTTGCTTATGGTGGATTGATTTTTTGCATATTTTACAATTTTATACTCTAAACTCATATTCAGTGAGGTTTGTTTAGAGGAACCCTGTGTATCCTGGGTGGAGGGTGTGTCTCTCGAGAGTGGCTTTATGTTTGTTTCTGACAGTGTTTCTAGAGGCCCATTGTGATGTTCTTTTCAGATTCTCCACATATTGCATCACCGCTTCTGTCATGGCATGTACTTTTGGGCATGCATTTTTCCTATGAGGAAGGAGAAAATATTTTTTTTCTATTAGAGCCCAGGGTGGAACAGATAAACTTCCTTGATTTGCTCCTCTGCTTTTTGTTCTTTTCCTTGTCCATGTTCTGTCTAAAGATGCAGTCCTTAGAAAGTTTTAACTTTCTATGGGCGTCTCAGAGTCAACTCTCTGCCATGGGTGTCCGAGGCCTCATCTCAGTTGTGTGTGTGAATGAAAAAGTCAGGCACCCAGATAACTGAGGCTGACTCTTGCCCCACGGAGGTTACAGGGTCAGCTTGGTTTCAGTTCTCTTTTCTTTTCTTGTATCTGAGTACTTCAATTTCTTTTCTTGTAGATTCAGCTATTCTTTTAGACTAATGTTTGCTTTATTTTATCTAGCAGAAAGTATTTGTAGTCAAAGCATTTTCAAGTTTTCCAGTCAGCCAAAATAGCAGAACCAGAAAGTATTTTTTTATATATAAAGTGCTCATACAAATTAATAAAATACCAACTTTACTAGTGGGCAAAAGATATACTAAGAGAATTTATGAAAGTGGACTTTTGAAAAGGTCAAAAAATACAAATTAAAACAATGAGATGAGATACAATTTTCAAAAAGAAAGGACAAGAATTTCAATGGCACAATGAATTGAGCATTATTGTAATCTGTTAAATGGACATATCCACGGATTATTTGAAAATAATTTGCTTTAAGAGCCTAATGTCTTTCCCCTGACTACTACTATACACATCTATAAATCTATGTTAAGGAAATAATACAGATAATCAGTATGTTTCATATTTAGAAAAAAATAATAGGTGTTATTTCTTTTAAAAGTGTATCATCTTTCTTGAAATCAGAGATATTTTTATCTCACTGTAAGCTTCAGAGTCTCAGGCAAAGACAAAGAAGTTATGCAAAGGCTTAAAAACAAACACTATTAGGGAACAGTCATAGAATATCTGATGGACACACCTGTTGGGTGGGTGCTGGCCCCTTTACCAGCTTGGAAAAACAATGGAGTGGGGACAAATGTCTAGAAAGTACTTATTCATCATTCAAGACCCAGCTACTATCCCTCTTGTTGTAAGCACTTTCTTATGCCCCCAGATTGAGTGTGCTCCCCACAGAAGTCTGCTTAATTCTGTCACAGGACTGGCTCCACTGCCCTGTCCTCCCCACCTGTTGGGAGCTCCTTTGGGTCAGGCACTGTGTGCCCTGTAACTCTATATTCTAGTATCATATGGGACACACCAAAGGTGATCAATAAATGTCTGTAGAATGAAGAAATGAGACTTATGGGTAACTGCTCATTCCATAAATCTTAGCTAAGGTGGTTCATAGGGGACATTGTGCCTTGCAAGACAATAATGAGAGAGCCCACATATTAGGATTTCTTCGATGGCAACTTCCCAACTTCTAGCACTGACAGAGAGCAGTTTGTTAGAGGTCCAGATGCATGTGGGTCGGAAGTCTTATTGCCAAGATCCAGAGTAGACAGTCTGGAGAATGTGTACACTGCCTTCGGACTCTGGGAAGCATCACTGATATTCCCAGGAAACTTGTGAAACCTCTTGTTTATAAAGGTTTCTCCATCTGTTATACTTTCTGTACTTTCCCTCCTCCTGCTCTTGGTAACACGGATGTTTGCATTTTACAGGGATTCCTGTTGCTAAAAGGTCTGTTTTTTTTTTTTTTTTTTTTTTTTCCTGCTAACATTACCCTCATCAGCCAGAGCCTAAATCCTGGCAGCTCCCAAAGGGAGGTCCTGGTCCTCCTCCTGGACTGCTGCAAGAGCCTCCTAACTCACCTCTCCACACCTCAACATCTACGCTCCCCTCATGCATTACCACCCTGAGGTCAGATGAATCATCTAAAAATACAATTTGACCACGTCAGGTGACATAAATTCACCAGTCATTCCTCATTGCCAAGAGGACAGAGGCCAGGCAAGTGGCCCTGGCCTACCAAGTCTCACCTTCACTTTATCGTCATCAGACTCTAACACTGCAACCACATCAGAATGCTTCATATTCTTCCCATCTCAACCCCACGCCTCTATAAGTACTGTTTCCTCCACTTGGGATGTATTTTCTCCTTTGCCTGGAAAGTTTTTTACTTTAAAACACTGCCCAGATGCCAGCCCTCTGTTAAACTTTCCTTGACTCCCTCAAGCAGAATGCAGGTGGCCCCTCCTCTGTGTTCCTATAGCAATTTGTATAGAAATTTTTTAGTGTATTTCTTTGTAACCTTTGTCTTGCCCACAAATCTATTTATCTCAGCAATATCCCCTTTAGCCAGGCTCCCACTCTACCCCCACTGCCCAGATTTTATCTCCTACTTGGACTGTTATAATAGCAGCGTCATGGGGTTCCCTGTGTCTGGCTTTACCTCAGTAATGTACCTGCCTCACCAAAGTCAGAGGGAACCTTCTGAACTCCATATATGACCATGTCATCTCCCTGACTAAAATCTTTGGTTGGATCCCTAAAGCTTTCCAGGATGAAGTCCAAATTCCTTAGCATGTGCTGCCTAAAAAGGAGCCCCAAAGCACAAGGAGTCTGGGGTCTGTCATTTCACAAAGTAGAGTGAGCTCTTGTACCCTACAGGCTTTGTGTCAGTGGTCAGCTGTTCCAGTTCATTGTGTCAGCTGTCAGGAGTCTCTCTGGGGCCATTCATGTTTTCTGGTTCCAGGCCCCCAGGTGCACTGGGGAAGCTGTTGTGAGGCCCCTGTGGGCAGCATTGGGCAGGGGCAGTGAACCTTGCTCAACCTGAAACAGGTTCTGAGGCTGCTCTGATAGGCGTGATCATAGCCTAGAGCCATCATGAACCCATACTGCAGGGCCAAGACGAGGGCAGGACCCTAGTTCCTTACCAGAGGGGCCGCAGCTACGGCTTGAATTCTGATTTGCAAGCTTTTTAAATTCCATGAGCTCCGCATGGTCCTTCTCATATGTCCTCTTCAGGTTCTCCACATACTGCATCATCACCTCTGTTGCCTTTGACATGCGCTTTTCCTGCAGGGAAGGAGGATGTGAGAACCAGGCATTTGGAAGAAAGGCTCATTGGCACTTGTTTGCTCTCAGCGAGGATCTGGGCTGGGAGAATCAAAAGGATACGAGAACCAATCAGATGTGACCCCGCTCATTTGCTGTTCAGCCATGTGAGCTGAGAGGGGGTCCCAGGCACCTGCATTTGGAGAACATGAACACGCATAGATAGCCACATGCCTCAGGATATGGCAGGTGAGAGGGAGTTATCTCTGCTTGCAAAAAATGGGTCAAGCAGGTTTCATGGAGATGAAGTGAAGTGGCTGTAGGCAGCATCTGGGCATTTAGATATAGGCAGAAGGGAAAAAGAGCATTCAGGCCGAGAAACTCCAAGAAGAAGAGTCCAGAGGCAGGGAACCACAGGACTTGTAGCTAGGTGAGGATTTATCCTCCGGACAAGAATTATGCTGACACCAAACAAAACCAAAACCAAAACGATCCAATTAAAAAATGGGCAGAGGACCTGAATAGATATTTCTCCGAAGGTCATATAGATGGCCAATAGACATATGAAAAGATGCTCAATGTCACTAATCATCAGAGAAATACAATTTAAAACCACAACGAGATAGTACCTTACACCTGTCAGAATGACTATCATCAATAAATAAAAAAACAAGTGTCAGTGAGGATGTGGAGAAAAGTGAACCCTTGTGCACTGTTGGTGGGATTACAAATTGGTGCAGCCACTATGGAAACAATATGGAGGTTCCTCAAAAAAATTAAAAGTAGAACTACCTTAGGACCCAGCAATTACACTACTGGGTATTTATCTGAAGAAACCCAAAACATGAATTCAAAAAGATCTATGCACCTCTATGTTCACTGCAGTGCTATTTACAATAGCCAAGATATGGAAGCAACCTAAGTGCCCATTAATAGGTGACTGGATAAAGAAGATGTGTTACATATATATAATGGAGTATTACTCAGCCATAAAAAAGAATGAAATCTTAGCATTTGCAACAACATGGATAGATATAGAGGGTATTATGCTAAGTGAAATAAGTCAGACAGAGAAAGACAAATATCATATGATCTCACTTATATGTGGAATCTAAAGAACAAGATAAACAACAACAATAAAAAACAGAAACAGATTCTTAGATACAGAGAACAATCTGCTGGTTACTGGGTGGGAGATGGGTGGAGAGTGAAAAAAGGTGAAGGGATTAAGAAGTACAAATCGGTACAAAATAGTCATGGGAATGTAAAGTACAACACAGGAAATATAGTCAATAATATTATAATAACTGTATAATGCCAGGTGGGTACTAGACTAGTTTATCAGATCACCTCATAAATTTATATAAATGTCTAGCCACTATGCTGTATACCTGTAACTAATATAATATTGAATGTCAACCTTAATTGAAAAATAAAAATTAAAAAATAAAATAAAAGCTATCATGCATTGTTTTTTATTTTAAAAAAATAAAGCATTTTATAAAAATTTGGAGAAAAAAAAAAAGAATTATGCTGTGACAATAGGCATCTACCAGGACTGCCTGGAAAACCAGGAAAGTACAGGTCATCCTATTTATGTGAAAATCAGCAAGCAGTTGGATTTGTTTACAAGAAGTAAAGGTACTCAGGGCTGGGTTGTGAAGGACCTCGAATGCTAGACTAAGGAATTTGGACTTTTTCTGAAAAAAAGAGAGCCATCGAATGTCTTAAAGTAAGGGAGGGTCATAATTAGGCCACCGGTGGAGACTGGACTGATGGCAGTGAGACTGGTGGCAGTAAGAGCAACAAGGAAAGAGAGGATGAGAGCCTGAACAAGTCTGGAGGAACCGGGGGGAAAGGCGAGGACTGAGACCCAGAAGCTGGGGGAGGGGAAGCCATTCGGAGAAAAGTGAAGACCGGAGTGAACAACACGCGAGTTTAGAAACATATCTGGGAGGGCTGTACAGAATGAAAAAGATTCTTTCTGCTTATACCTCTTGGATCCCTTGGAGAGCCTAGCCCAAGGTGTACCTAGCCACAGAGGGACACGTTCGGTGACTGTGCACTAGAAAAGTTCCACGCAGCTGTGAGCTGAGACCAGCCACTTTCTCTGAGCTCTCCCATTGTGGCTGTTCCCAGCTGGAGTGCATTCCTGGGTGCTGTAGCTGAGTCAGGTGCCCTTTCCCCAGAAGAAAACGGGGATAGGACAGCCAGTGGCTTGTCCTTCTTTCATTCTATGAGAATTGCCAGGAGCTGTGCCCCAGGAACACCCTGCTGATGCAACCAATGCAGCACACCTGGGTCCACAGTAATCGCAGCAATGATAACAACATCTAGGTGCTTTATGACAGCAACCCTACATGGCAGACGCTATTATCATCTGCATTATACAGCTGGAGAAGGTGGAGCACAGAAAGCTCGGTAACAGGCCACACAGTAAATCCTGGTGGAGCCGGGATTAGACCTCAGGCAGTCTGATCCCAGGACACCATCCTGGATCGGGGTAGTGCTCTGTGTGCTTCAGGACTTCAGAGTGGCTGAGAGGGAGCCAGACCTGGCCTGGCCCTCCAGCTCTGCTGCTATTAGTGCTATTACTTTTCTGAGACTTCATGTCTTCAGTCAGGGGATGAGGATATTCACTTACAGGGTTGCTGGGAGGATTAAATGAAACAAAGCAGTTTTTTTCCTTAAGCGTATTGTGCCAAGTAGTTCCAGGGGAGTTGAATAAGTATTTTGTGAGAAAAATAAGAGGTGGGGGGTGGTTCTTCATTCAAATACATTTAGGAGACTACGGAGGTAAGCTTAAACAGGATTCTTTGCTACAAGACTTCTCAAAGGCTTGATTATGCCAATACACATTAGACATCTCTAAGAAAAGAAGGGAGCATGTAGTAGTTTCCACACTTATGTGTCCACAGAAAGCTTTTCCAAGGAGCGCTCGAGAGTTTAGTGGTCCACCAAAAATACTCTGAAAAAACCCCCGCAATAATGTGCATAGGATTCGTGGCACAGAGGAAGCCATCAGTAAGTGGTATCTGTAGTTGTTGCTGCTTCTGTTATTGATCTAGATACTGTGGATGGAGCAGAGCCAGTCAGCAGGGCTGGGAGCTGGCGAGGCTCACCTGGCGGACAGCCCCCACCATCTCGGCTCTGCTGGAGAGGCGGGCAGCCAAGCGGTGCAGGACAGCAATGTCCTCCAGCAGCTTCTGATAGGTCTCCCGGTGTTCACAGTGCTGCCAGAGTGAAGCTGAGGACTGAGGAATGAGAAGGAGCATCACCTGAGGTCCTCACATACCAAGATTTGATTTAGGCTCTCACAGGACAAGCCCTAATGCCCACCCTGGCTGAGGAGAGTGGCCACTGCAGGGCCTGGGCTATAGCTTCTGGGGATTGGAAAGGCCCAATGTGGGCACTCTGCCTGACTGGCCTGAAAGAAGAGAATCACATCCGGGTGTCTGGCTTCCAAGGAGCTCACTTTGCCATCACAGGTCACCCAGTCTCACCCTGAGAAGCTCCTAAGGGTGCAGAGGCCTTACCTACAGCTCTGAAGTAACCAGGCCAACAGTAATCTCTGCCTCAGCTCCTCCCAGCACTCTCAGGAAGACTGTCTGGTTCAGGGCCTTGGCCTGAGTTCTCATTTCGGGAGACTCTACTTTGTGACTGAGAAAAGCAGATACCTGGCATAGCCCTTGGTGACAGTCCCTCCCTGAAATATCACCCAGTCGGGCTCCACGATTACCGTAATGGAAGCTTTGAAGTTTTCCAGTTCCTTCTCAGTGTTCTCCTCTGTCAGGTTGCGTTCCCTTTCGGCCTGGTTAATTCTAGATTCCAGGGTGTAGCTGTCATTTCTAAAGGCCAAGGACAGTTGTACAAAGACGTTCTGTTGGGAACAAGAGTGTGGGAGAGGTGCTAGGAGGAGTTATTGCAGGAAACAAGGCTGCAGGTGTGTTTCTTGCATGAGCATTTTATGTCAGCTGGAACCAGTCACCAAGGCAGCCATGTACACATGAAACTCTCCCTTCATAGTCAACTGCACAAAGGATAGTGAAACAGTAACCTAAGGTTCTGCTAGGTCTTTCCAGGCCAGGACCAGAAAACCAAATGCATCTTACTGAGAAATAATAAGAAAATAACACTTTGCTTTTTCCTGAACTTCAAGAAAATAACATCCTGTATTTGAGTTTAGATAAACTTGGATCAACAGAGTTGATTGTGTAAGCAGTTTGGATTCACGCTAGAGTTTATTGCATGCCGGTTTTGGAGGTTCTGCATGAAACCACTGTAAAGAAAATTTGAGATGTAAGCCTTGTTGACTTGAAGCAAACTTCAACTAGCATCTTGCCTGAGTATTCTAAATCCTACATTAAAAGCAGCTTTAAGAAGATCAGGTATGATTCTGTCAAAAGAAGCTTTCTAGAACAAATATTCCATGCCAAAAATGCTGCCTGCATGAATAAACTTTGAAAAGTGGTATTGATCAGACATGGAATTCCTGAAATAATAGGAAACTACTGGGGAAGAGAAATAGACAGATGGACTCTACACAGGAAGGAAGCAATGACCTTCATTTTTATAGCCTTCATTGCCCTGCCTCAGTCAAGTGGTCGCAGATTTACACTGTTGGGGTGAGCTAACTCTGCTTGAGCTTCTGAAGTTCACATAATGAGGCCTACAGTGAGCAGACATCTCCAGACAGAGAACTAAAGGCCCTGAACTGACCCAATAATGATAGTGATGGCAATATTGAAAGCTATTCCTTACTGAGCACCTACTACATGCCAGCACTGCTGAGTTTTATGCACCTTAGTTCATTTAATCCCACAACAACCCTCTCAACAGGAAATATTATATCCATACATGGGTAAAAAGACCTAGACCAGAGAAGTCATTAACTTAATCGAGGTCACACAGGGAGTAGCAGAGCCAGGGTTCAACTGTGGACTATCTGATACCAAAGCCTGTGCTACTTTCGCCATGCTAAGTACTGATTGTGCCTGTATACATCTGAGGACAGAAGCTGGCCCTTAAAGAAACCTCCCATGGGCCATCTTCACCAATGCCAGTGGAGTCTCTGTCCTACCCGAGTCTCTGTCCTACCCAAGTCTCAGTCCAGTGAAGTTTATCAATAATGCTTAATGTGTAGTTCTCTATCCCTGGGTTATCCCCTTTAAAAAGAGTAAATAAAACCCAGTCAAGGCCAAGCTTCATAATTTCATAAAGCACTAGAGTTACTTACCTCAACTTCCTTTTCAGTGAGCGGAGGGGCACTGTGAAAAAGACAAGACACGCAAATGAACTTTATCCAACCTATGAAATGAACCAAAAGGTAACTTTGAACAACCAGTAGACGACATATTTCCAGGAATGGAGTAAATGGAGTTGATGAGATGGAAAAGATTCAGGGTATGAGCTTTATATGAGCTCTGTAATCTGTGAGATATTCTACTAGATACTGACTCCTACAGAGAGAGTGAGGTGGAAAATATTATATCCCACGGTTAGCCCTCCACCAGTGCCTCTACTAACTATGACTCTGGAAAAGTTATTTCAGTCCCTATTTGTTCATCTGTAAAATGGGAATAATAATACCTACCTTACAGGAATCTTATAAGGAATATATGTATGTACGTGTGTATCTATAAGTGTATATGTGTGCATATGTGTGTATATTCACACATTTTTTGCACCCACACATGTATTTATGTATATGTGTGTGTGTACACGTGTATATATACATATGACATCCACATTCAGGAGGCGGTCAAGAAATTTTAGCTATTGTGATTTATTCACAGGCTTGTTTTGAAGACTTAAGAAAATGCATGTGCTACGTATTTCATAAACTGTATGCATCTGAGCAACCATTACCATTTTTTCAGGGCTATCCAGGTTTGCAAAGCCTGACCCTTCTCCTGTCTCTGAGGGTTGTGACAAAGGTGTATGTGGGCCAGAGAAAGAAAGAGTGGCCAGAGCTCTTCTCCACAGCAAGAACTGCTTCTGATGGCTGGAATCAGTGATCAGGCAGGAAAGTCCCAGCTAGCACAGTGGTCATTCTGAGAGGTTTCTCATTGTGTGTGGTTCCCACAGCAAGCAGTCCTTTTATCTGCATGCTCATTCTGTGTTGCTGCTGCTGCTTTTGCTGGTAACTAAAGCTAGCTCTGTTCTGAAACCTGAATAATATAAATAATGCATGAGCCCTTTCCTGTGCTGGGGTGGGAGGACTGGGAGGGGTCCCACCGGCATACAGGACTTGGCAACAGAGCGCGCCATCGATTAGACTCTCAGGAAACACTGCTTCCTCCCTTTGACGGGTGTGGAGGGACCCCAAGAGCAAAGGTAGGGGTCGGGTATCTCTGCAAGAGGCTGGTTCTCACCCCGATAAGGGACTGTGAGAGTCTTCCTGTCAGGATGAGGCAACAAGACCCCATGGCCAGCAAGTCAGCAGAGTACAGAGCATGGGATAAACAACTGCAAAAATGTTTAACACTTACGATTTTTGCCATAACCCCACCCATCGAGCCCTTTCCTCTGTGGGCCAGCCAATGTAATTTTAACTGTCATATAGAGCATGCACATATCACTTAAACAATTTATCAAAATTCGTTGAGCTTGCCTTCACTTCTGGCTTTGTTTGGGTAGCATGTGAAATTTACATATTTTCATCACATATTAACCAAACTTATTTTTCTATTTTGATGACTCATTTTCTGCTTTTCTTTGCTATAGAATATACTTAAAAAAAATAACATCCAAATCCCTGAGTACTCAGGGAGGCGATTTAGGTAAAGAAGCCACATGGCATGGCAAGCTCTTGGCAGAGAGCTATGCTTTGTAAACTGGCATAGGCAGCTATGGGGCAGAGCCATGGGCCTCCAAAAAGACAGAAGCCTAGCAGGTGACACACAAGGAGACCATTGTGGATGGCATCACCTGTCTCAGAGCTCAAACTCCCATATTAGGCTCTAGAATAAAATCAAGGCCTTCTGTGAACCAGCCCCTACCTGACTCTCCAGCCACATCGGCCACTCTGTTCTTTAAACACACTCACCTCATTGTGGCCCCAAAGCCTTGCATTTACTCTTCTATGCTTTTTTTTTCCCCTCTCTTTTGTAATGGCTTTATTAAAGTATAATTCACATACTATAAAATTTATCCGTCTAAATGTACAATTCAGTAGTTTTTAGTATATTCACAGAATTGTACAACTCACTACAATTTTAGAATTTTTTCATCATCTCCCCCCAAACCCAATACCTATTAGCAGATCCTCTCCGTATCCCCCAACTCCCATCCCCAGCCCTAGGGATCCACTAATCTGCTTCCTATCTCTACTGATTTCCTGATTCTAAATAGTTCATATAAATGGAATCATACAACATGTGGTCTTTTGTGACTATCTTCTTTCACTTAGCATAATGCTTTTAAGTTGCACCCACATGTTAGCATATATCAGTACTTTATTTTTATGGCTGAATAATATTCCATTGTATAGATATATCACATTTTATTTATGCATTCATCAGTTGATAAACATTTGGGTTGTTTCCACTTTTTGGCTATTATGAAAATGCTTTTATTGAACATTCATGTACAAGCTTTTGTGTGAACATGTATTTTTATTTCTCTTTAGTATACACCTAGGAGTGGAATTGCTGGGCCATATTGTAACTCTACGTTTAACTTTTGGAAGATCTACCAAACTGTTACTCCAAAGTAGCTGCACCATTTTACTGAAGATTCCAAGTCATCCATATCTTTACCAATACTTGCTATTGTTCATCTTTTTTATTATAACCATTCTAGTGGATGTGAAATGTTGCCTCATCATTTTGATTTGCATTTTTCTAATGACTAATGACATTGAGCATCTTTTCATGTGCTTATTGACTCCTCATATATGTTCTTTGAAGAAATGTCTACTTAAATCTTTTGCCCATTTTAAAAAAAAAGAAAAAAAGGTGGTCTTTTTTTTGAGTTATAACAGTTCTTTATATATTCTGGAAACAAGTCTCTTATCAGACACATGATTTGCAAATATTTTCTTCTCTTCTGTGGGTTGTTTTTTCACTTTCTTGGTGGTATTGTTTATATTACAAAAGTTTTTAATTTTGATGAAATATTCATCTATTTTTTTCCCTTGGTGTCATATCTAAAAAACTATGGACTAACTCAAGGTTACAAAGATTTGCTCTTATATTTCCTTCTAATGGTTTATAGCATTAGCTCTTACATTTAGAACTATGATCCATTTTGAGTTAATTTTTGTGTATTATGTGAGGCAGGGTCTGACTTTACTCTTTTGCTGTGGCTATCCAGTCATCATTTGTTGAAATTACTGTGCTTTTTGTCTGAAAATTTCTTCACCGAATCTTTATATGGATGACTTCTTTTTGTCATTTGCATGTCTCAACTTAATTACTGCTTTATCATAGAGGCCTTCCTTGACCCTCTACCCAATGTTTCATTCCCATGTCATTTTCTATATGTGCCTATTTCATGGTCTTTCTAGCAGCTTTGCTGCCTGAAATCATTCATTTGGTTACTTTAATATTATTTGTCTCTTTACCCAGAATATAAGTGCCATGAGAACAGGGACCACGTCTGCTTGTTCTCCATTCTAATATCTGGCACTAATAGGCACTCAATAGATATTTGTTGGTTAAATGTTTATTGCTCCTATTGGCATTTGACCCTAGGATACTTTATCCAGTGACATCTTCTCTTTGTACTCTTTTTAACCAACCACTGACCATGCCCATAATTTTGGTTCTAGACCTGGTTTTTCTACTGAGCTCATTCAGCTTGATGACTCTGAGTTCCTTCTTGGTCTGGTCCAATCTCAATTTATGTAGTTCACGTAGAATATGAGACAAACTCCTACATGTTAAAACCAAGTGTAATCTTCCTATATTTCTGCTGGGAAAAGGAATCTTGAAGCTCCGGCTTCCTTCTGTTGGAGGATGTCTTATGTGATAGTTTGTCCATCTATCCCAAACTCCAAACCAGATTTAGAGAGCTCTGGGCACAACCAAAGATTCAATTTGGAAACAGCCTCTACTGAGGCCAGAAGCAGGGAGGCTGGTTTGGTGGTTGGAGCAGGGAGGTCGGAGACAGACATCGTGACTGCTGGCACAGCGCATGAGAGCCATTGACCTCAATCTGAGAGCCTGGACCATATGCTTTAGAAGCTGATCTTATTCATTGATCCTGCAAGCCCAGTCTAGCCTCATGATTGGTAGCTAGTAGCTGTTTACTTACTTAAGGAAGCTAGAACTGCTCATTCCCCCTTTCTTGGGGAAGCTGGGAAAATTTAATCAGTTGGAGATGTGCCCTAATATACTAATTATCTGCAACTTTACCGGGGAAAAAGAAGCCAATTACACTTTTGACCAGCCTTGTTCCTTGCAGACTGAAGAGCGCTAGTGATTGTTTTGGTATTTTTGACAGGCTCCTGGTATAGATGGAAAGCCGCTAGGTCTGGAAACAGTCCACTCTGAATTCAATTCCTGACTCCATCACTTGCCAGCATGTTGCTTTGTCTTTCTGTTCCTTCTCTGAAGATAAACAGAATAAAATCTTCCTTTCTGCCTCACTGGATTGTCACAAACATCAGAGACTCCATAACCTGCAGTGCACTTTGAGTGTGTCTCCTTTGGATTCCTGTCTCTGGACACCCTTTCTGTGCCTTCCACGAAGTGAACTAGCCTAACTCATGCCCTCCTCTGTGAATGCAGCCTGCTTCTGACTTGCCTCTAGCACTTTTTTTGATGTTGGTTTAGTCACCAGGTCCCTCTGAGTATTGCCCTGATGACTCTGTTTTAGGTGATTATAGTGTGGAATTTGAACACATGGTACCCACTGGAAGAAACTTGTTTTCCTTTCATATTTACTCCCAATTTGGGAAGCTCTGTTATGTCTGATAGCTCCTCCTAATGGCCTTTGCCCCCCAACAGTTTAGTGTCCAGGTTGCTGGACTTGGCGGAAGGCCTTACCTGCAGGCATCCACCCAATTGCTTAGTGGCACCCTATCTTCTTTCCTTTGTACTCCAGACTGTTCACTTGTCAACCCAGTTACCAAGAGCACCGTGTCATGTGCTGACAGTTCTAAGTCCCTGCTCACACACCATCTCGTTTAGCTAGTGCAACACCCTACCAACAACAGAGCACTTATGATCCCTGTTGTATAAGTGAAGAGGCTGTCTCAAGAACTGAAGTCACTTTCTCCACATGTATAAAAGAGGCTGATAGGTTTTCCAAGCAGTTTTCTTCATGTGGTTCCAATTGTTCCACATTTCTATCTATGCGGGTATCAGACCTAGAATCTCTCAGTTATAGGAAAATGGTGGATCTGGGATTAAAACCACGTCTCCTGGTCCAAAGCCTCGCTGCCATGAGCGTCTGATGACTCTCATGCTTGCCTATGAACCCTACCTGCTCTTTGGGTTGGAACCACCTCACCTGGCCCTTTATTATTCTTGTTTTGGATGTATTTACCCTGTCTGGACCATCTGACTCTGACCCTCCTGGGGTTAAAAATCAAGGCTGGTGCTTTTCTGCGTCTTGTCTAGAGTCTAACACAGGGAACACCTAATACAGGTCTTTTGCAACCCATGCCCTGTTTTACCTTCCAGGGAGAGACTTGTGGACTCGCAGTTTGCGCAGCAGTACATCAGAAATATTGGGCATGACATCCATGCCACTCTTAGATTCTTCTTCCTCAACAGCCGGGGAGAGTTCAGAAGGGAGCCCTAAAAGAAAAAATGTGCTTAACTTAAATTGTCTGTTTGAAATCATTGTATTACTGTTGGCAACTTGCTTTAGTGGGTAAGGAAGAGCTTTAACATTTACAAGAACCTAATTATATGCCAGGGGCTTTATAATTGTTATTTTACCTTCACAATGACTTAACAAGCTAAACTTAACCATGCCATTGTAGAGGTGGGTAAGCCAGAACTCAGCAAGGTTAAGTATTTGCTTAAGGTCACAGAACTAGTAAATAGCATACATAGACTTTGAACCAGTTCTGTCTGCTCTAAATTCTATGTTCTTCCCATTGCTCCTCACAGTACCAAGCAGATTCTCCTGTCTGGGGTCAGAGGTTGGTTTCTGGCAACAGGAAGCTTGTTAGCCATTTGGCTATAGTGTTTGCAAAAGTCCCCTCTCCTTGGTAGACTTCCCAGGAGGACTGTTGCCCAATTATTCTTCCTTGAATGAATTTAACCGTTCAATCATCTGTGGTCTACCTGGAAAGCAGTATCTAGTTCCATATCCCCATAGAAAGAAATAAAAATGGGGATTTTCCAGGGTAAAATTAAGGTCATTAGGTCTTTTACAGATCTCAGAATAGATGCCTCCTAATCTATGGAACCAATGAACAACAGCCTTTTGTTATTTCCTAAAACTATCCATGGTCTGTGCTCTGAAGGCAGAAAGAACAAATTAAACATTCTTTTTTCCACAAATCTTTCTCCAGTTAGAAAACAGCTTTCCTTCTCCAGGCTCCGGCCCTATATTCTCAACTGTTCATTGTGACCCACTATGGCCCCTGGCCTCTAGATAACATCCCCTGCCTGCATACATTCTGGTTATTGCTGTTCCGGAGGCCCAGATGTCCTCTTACAAGCTCTTAGCTCAGGAGGACATTAGCACATATCCCTGACATTTGTATTTGTTATTCATGCAGCATATATTTGCTAAACCTTACTATGAGCCCACAGTTCACTTAGGATTAAAAGCCTCAAATCTCTTTTATTTGGATCAAATCAAGTATCTTAATACTATGGTTATTTTTCATTTGCATGCAGGACTTTATAGTTATACATATTTCATCATCTCTTGTGGGTTTTGACCCAGCATATTTCCAACCTGCTCAACCATTTTCCAGAATTGTAGGCCAGGCCAGAGGTCAGGACTACAGACATATTTGTGGTAGCCATCCAAATGGAGCTAAGATTGGGAATCATGTGAATTAGAAGCCTTACCAGGGGAGACCATGCAGAGAGAAGAGGGGGTATAGTTTGGCTCAAGGTAAAGAATGCTTAAATACATTGAGCTTTCCAATAACTGAATGGTGTTCATGAGTTTCCTGGTACTTAAGGTACCCCAGCAAAGTCTAGAGGGCCATCTGTCAAAGATGGGGTAGTCAATGGTCTTTCTCTAAATATAAGATTGGATCATATATTCCCTTAGCTACCTGTCACCTCGGGTTCTATCCTGGCATTTATTGCTCTCTGATATTTTCACATGACAGATGGTAAATTCTCTGATGCTTCTGGCCTCACTCTATCTTTATATATCCCCAGTACCCAACAGAGATAACTAAGCTGTGGGCTCATGAGAAATTTATATGATTGCTTGAACCATACAAGTTCTAATAATCAAGTGAAAGCTATACCAGGGGCTTTTGCCTAGAAAAGCACCCTAAGTTGAGCAACCCCTCCCCAGAAAAAAGTAACTAGTTAGGGTTTCAAGCCCTGCTAAACTGGCTATCTGAAGAGTGATCCTAGAACTGATGGATCCCAGAACCAGCCACCCTCTTCCTGAACTCAACCAAATTAACAAGAATAACAACAAATTTTAAAACCAACCAAAAATATACCAGCAACTCTCAAATACAGGAAAAGGCAAAAATCTTTAAAAATAATGGCCGGAGAAAGACAAAACTTACTAGAGATAAATCTAAAGCTCCCACCCTTGATAATCCTTTCTTCTTCCTTCAAAGATTCAGTACTGAAAAGAAGGTGTGAGAGGAAAAATTCTGACAAAAAGTGCAGTATCACAGAATGGGAAGGGACGTGCAGCCTGCAGAGGAGATTCAGAACATTTCTCAACAGTGGAAGGATCTCTATTCTACCACAACAGTCCAAAAAGAGAAAAAACTGCCTGTGCTGCTATTTGCTTTTCTTGATGAGGAGGAGGAAAGAGGAAAGACAGGATGACTGCATAGTAATCTACCAGAGCAGATTATGTAGAACAATACGGAGGGATTTACCAGAAAGAAAGATGAAGAGACAATAAATAAAACAAGCTCCTCTGATAAACTGAGTGGCAGGAGACACATGGAAAGCCCCAAATGAAGCTGTCTCCCACACATACTACTTCTGAGCAATACCATAGTGGCCAAACTCTTTGAATTCTGTCCCTCTTTTCCTTTCTTTACCTGACAGGACAGTGAAAGTGGCTGCTGGGAATAGCTGGGTCAAGTCTGGAAAATAAATACCTGGGTAGATTGTCTCTATAATTCTACCCTGAATTGGTGTAACAATCCATAACCCACTAGTCCCCACTCTAGGGAATGTGATGAGCCCCCACTTTGGTGTAATAAACTCAGGTGTTGGACTATGAACAAAGTTAGAAAAAGAGCAGAAATCCACAAATGCCACTCCATCTGAATTTCCCCTTTCCTCACCAGCTAAGCAGTAACAAAGCAGACACAAAATACCCAGTCCTCAACTAAGTGCTGCAGAGAGGAACGAGATCTCAGATAAAGTAGAAAGGCCGTAGTGGAAATTAACCTACACGATGTATCTAGGTAAAGACAAAATACAGGTAGAAAAGCCCATATAAAAAGAAATAAAATGAAAATAAATGGCATGGCAACTATACAAAAATACTATAGTCAAAAGAGGAAGGAAGGTATAAAGAAGAAAGGAAACATGCAGGGGACAGATGTCAGGATGAAAACAGCAAAAATGTACTTTTGTGCAAAATGTATAGCACAAATGCTTTGACTCAAGGAGAAATTAGAACCCGAAAAAAATGAAAATAGGAAATCAGAGGTAAGATGGGAGGATCATACAAAGGTGAAAGCAGATTACGACTTAAGGAAATAAATTGAAGACCAAAATCACAGAACTAAGCAGAAAATTATCAAAAGACAGACCTGACCAATAAGTTGGAAATATAAAAGAATAAAACAGATACAGCCTCTAAATTAGTAAAGAGGGTGGGGAGATCGAAATGAGGATAAAGAATGTAAAGAAGGAAAGATTAAACTATTTGGAGATGGAATAATGGAACTGCGCTTGAGACGCTGATGAGAAATTTACAGATTACGGTGTCTCTGAAGTAATGAAAAAAAACAAAAACAAACCAAAAAAAAAAAAGACAAAAAAACAAAGAACATATCCAAATATATGAGAAGAAAAATTTTCCCCAATTGAGAGAAAAATTGAACTTGCAGATTGAAAGAACATATCATGTTAAGGAAAAAAGAAAATGCTTCTCCAACTACCCTCATAGAAAGAGTAAGCTATCTACAGGGAGAGGTGAGGGGTGAGGGGTGAAGGGTGAGGGGTACTGGAAATCAGCTGGTCTCAGACTTCTCTATAACACTGAATACAGTGTAGCATTTACAGTGTTCTGA